CTGCCTCAGCCTCCCGAATGCTGGGGTTGCAGGCATGTGCCACCACGCCCAGCTTAACTCATCCATTTAATCTTTCCCTTTTATCTCCTTCTGTTCTGTATTTTATCACACCAGTAGTTTTCATGTTGCATGTCGGTTATTGTCTGTTACATCACTGCTCTTTTTAATTCTAATCATTTACTCCTTGATCACTTTCAGGTCTTCAGTTTCTGACAGTTGTTATTTCTTTGGCTTCTTCGTAGTGCTTGTCTTCACTGCTTACATTTTTGGTCACTTTAAGATCTTTTTCAGTCTCTGCCACCTGTATTGGTGGCCACCATTTCAGTGGTTCTGACTCCCATGGTCAGCCACTTACATACGAACATTAAATACATTGTTTTTTCCTAGTATGTACCTCCATGGTAAGTAGGTTAAGTTGCTGTGTACAGTTACATTCAGCTTACAACTCTTGATTTATCAGTTTTACTACTGTTTTTTGGTAAGCACTGGGTTGGTTCAAAGTCTAAATGAGAAAGCATGCATAGTGTGAGCACAGTTGCTGACCCTAAGATTGTTCTCCTTTTTCTGTCACTTGTGGATGAAACAATTCTTTCTGAAATTGCCACGTTTTGTAGAAAGTTGTAAAATAGCAACAACATTTTTCTCCCAGTGTCCGTTACGGAAATTTCCAAACATGCAGTGAAGTTGAAAGGATTTTAGATCCGATACCATATGTCTTTAATCTGCTGCTGCTACCACTATATGTATTACTTTATCACACATTCATACTTCTACTGTTGATCATTCTTAAATTTTTTACTGCACTTCAGAGTTAATTGCTGACATACGCACATTCTCCATGGTTTAAATGATTTTTTAAAGATTGCTGTCCAGTTGTCTAGGAATAAAATACGGCTTCTAGATGTGATTTATTGTATAGAACTATCGTGTATAGAATTGTCTGATTAATTTAGTCAAAGAAATAAAATAAGTGCAAAATACTGTCTTTTAAATGGGTAAGTATAAGATGTCTGTATTAACTTTTAGAGCTCTCCCACTAGAGGGTCTCACTTGATCATCACTACTGACTAAATAAGAAAAATTTATTTAGTATATATTATACATTACATTGTCTTATGATTCCTAAGAAGTGTCATCAGGATGTAAATAAATTAGAAGGTAAGCTGTGTTTCTTCTTTTGAGAGTTTTGATCATGAATGGCAGCTAAAAGTGTCACTAGAGGCACATGTATGAGGGAAATACCCCACTTCCTTTCTTGCTTTCTCTTTTCTTTTTCTCCTTTTCACTCCTTTTCCTCTTTTCTTTGCTAATACTTGGAGAAAGGTATACACTTTCTTGTGTTTATTTGCTGAGGGGAAAGAGAGTGGAGAGGCCAAATGATTAGATGAAAGGGTCACAGGAAAGGGGTGCAGGCCTATAATCCAGCACTTTGGGGCACTGAGGAAGAACGATTGCAAATTCCAGCTCAGCCTGGAGAGTTTAGCAGCACCGTGAGACCCTATCTCAAACATAAAAAATAAAGAGCCAGGGATATATTTTAGTACAACGGCTCAGGATCAATCATCGCCAGTACCTCAGAAGGATGGAGGGGCTGGGGTAGGGTGTCAGTGAGAGTTGGCAGACTTTTTTTGTGAAGTGCCCGAGGCAGTGTTTATTTTAGACTTTGCAGGTCATACAGTCTGTTAAAACTATTGTACTCTGCTCTTGTAGAGTGAAAGTAGCACCAAGCACCTTAATGAATGAGTTTAGCTCTGTTCAATCTTATGGGCACAAAATTGAATTTCACTTAATTTATACATGTTAGACCACAGTGTCCACATTTTTGAGAACATTTAAGAATGCAAAATATTCTAAGCTTGTGAGCTGTGAAAAACAGGTGGTAAGGCTAGATTTGGCCCATGGCCTTTGGCTTGGCAGTTGTTACTGTCTAGGGATTTGAATTTTACCAAAAAAATTATTATTAGTATACAGTCTCCCATCGTAACAGCTTTTTATATCCTCCAAATTAGATGCAGTTCCAGATGCACTCAAATAATCCAGGGTGTCAGTGGAGTGAGGAAAAAGGGTTAATGCTTAATAACATGGCTCTGGCATGATCTTTTAGACCTTGTTTTATCAAGTATAGCTGCTATTCGTAAGCTGGGTGCAAAGAAGCAAGATTGATTTCAGGGAGTTACTCTTAAATCTCTCCTTAGTAATATTAAAAAGCCCAAGACTTAGAGTCAGTTCTGGATTCCAATCTCTTATTTGTACAACTTGTTACGTAATTCCTCTGAGTGTTAGCAGAAAGGGGTTTCATATAGTGAACTCCTAGACTCCCAAGGGTGATGATAACTATTACACCTGTGATAATACCAGCTGACAAGTAGTGCTTAGAATGTGCCTGGTGATACTCCAATCATTTTATACATCTTGGTAATTTGTATAGGCAGAACCCTCTCACTGGTGAGGGAACTTGAGGACTGAGGAGCTCATTTTAAAGTCCCGTGGTCAGTATGAGGCAGAGCCTGCATGTGGGCTTGGGCAGAGTCTGACAGTGTTGGGCTTTATGTTGGGCAGTCGGTAAGTGCTAAATTGAGAGCTGAAAAACTTGTTAAAGATTTAAAAAATTGTGGCATGGGGATTATTTTGCTCATTATTACACAATTATTTAGAAGAAGCTGATAATACAGATGTGATTTTTTTTCATTATGTTCTATTTTTACTGTTCACACTGCTTCATTCAATATATAAGGGACATTATTTATATGGCAGGTTGTTTTGGTTTATTTTAGGACAAAACCTGACATTTTTATTAAGAAAAATAGCTAGTATATTTTGGTATTTGAGTTCTGCAATCTTTTTAAAAAAATCATATGGATACTTTAGTGAGTTTTGGGGCCATTCAAATCATATTTGTGAAAAACTGAAATTGCTAGTGTTCTCCTTGTTCATATTCATTTTAATATGTAAATAGCATGCTTATTATAGAAAATATATATTGGGGCAAAAAAGTAGATTTTAAAAACTCATTCAGCCGTATTATTCAGACAAAATGAATATTAGCCCATTGAGACAAAAATGGATTCATCCTAGACCTAGATATTTGTAACTGACTTGTCAGCTTGTGACACAGCAAGAAGATTGTTGCTACATGCAGGTATTGCTAATTGTTTATTTCATTGTGTGAACTTTGTCACATTCACGTAGGTAAAGCTCTTTTATGGGCATACTGATTTCTCCTCCCAGATACAGAAACAGTGCATTTTTATAAGATTCTTCAACTATTTCCACAAGCTGTCACTCTAAGATGTATCAGTGTTTTTTTTTTTTTTTTTTTTTTTTTGGTTTTTCTCCGGTACCGGGAACCGAACTCACGACCTTCCACTTGCCAGGCAGGCGCTTTTGCCGCTGAGCTAAATCCCCAGCCCAAGATGTATCAGTTTAATATTTCTAAGACTTAGTACAAGTTCATAGTTTACCGGGAGAAAGAAATTGCCTATTTATGTTCTCCATAAGGTTGGACACAGTATCATAGAAACCTGTTTTTTTACTAAAGAATACCATATAAAGTATCTGTTAAGTGTTCTAGATTCTATATTTTACTCTTCTTTTTTTAAACATAGTCTTGCTTTCATACTTTACATAATGATGTCTGGAATAGTAAGATTTAATGTTTTGAAGTGAGGTTGATTATAGCTACATTATAATGGTTATCTCTTAAGTCGTTTGTGTAATTTATAGTGTGCTTTGTGAGTTTTTATTTTTTTTTGTATTTGCATGCCACTTATGGTAAATTTGCATGGATTATTTAGAAAATATAAGTGCTAGAATGAATTGAATGTCTTGGAAATACCAGTCTTTGTCGTTTGCCATGGTAGTTTAGAATCAGTCCTACTTCTTAAGACAAAATTGATCTTACTAATGTCCCTTTTCTACTTGTTTGCTACCTTTTTGAGTCTGTCATGATTAACAAGACATAAATGTGAATGCCAGTAGTCACTTAGTCCTACATTTTGGTAAGATAATTGCAGAAATGTTTTGAGAAATTTGGTGAATTTTTTTCTTGTAGTTTTAATTTTTCGTAGTTTTTCCATCATTTTGAATTTGGAACTCAGAGGAATAGCTATGAATTATGTTTCTCTGGATTCAGGACACTGTTCTACTTAAATTATGGTAATTTCATACTATCAGTTAGTAGAAGCATAAAATGTTAGGGTTGAATAAACAATAAAGATAGATCATATAGTCTGCCTTCTTCACTATTCCCTTTTTCAGCAATCCCTTCTTCAGTATTCTTGGTTCCTCTGCTAGAACAGCCATATTAACGCATTAATACACTGTATTTAATTTTAAAATATAAGAGGAATACAAAATTTTTACACTAATGGACCTTTAAATATGCAGTCCCAAAATTAATGGGGAGACAGTGACAAGTTTTGGGTTCATGATTATGTGCTTTGGAGCCACTTTTCTTGTACTTGAAATTCCTTCGTGAAGTTCCTTCTAGATCTTTCATGTGATCAGGGAAAATATTTTCTCATTCCAAATATAAATTTTATGTTATCTGCAAATCAGATATTTATAAGTGGTTGAAATGAAGTGGTAATTATTAGGGAAATCTAGATGCTTTAAATAGACTTTCATTTTCTTAATGTTAATATTTAAAACAATAATATGACAAAACTTGTGTCTGTAAGCCTTGTGAATTTTCAGTTGTTATGCTAAACAATTTAAGCATATACACTCAGCACATGAACCCCTAACTCTTTTAAACAAAGAACATCATACTGTATTAGAAGGGTACTTTTGATGGCATTGACAGTCATTGTCTTAGTTTCTTAGAAAATATAAAATACTTCACTAGTCAACAGTTGTGGGTCGTGGATTTCCATTTTTTACATCTTTCTTGATATGCAACTTCATTACTTCAGTGCTTGACTAACTTTTGCCTTGGTGATCTGCGGAGCTTTGTTCCTGAGCTGTACTAATCACGCCTTTTGTTTGAATGTTTGGTACAGGAAGCGGGCAGCTGCAAAGCATCTAATAGAACGCTACTACCACCAGCTAACTGAGGGCTGTGGGAATGAGGCCTGCACGAATGAGTTTTGTGCTTCCTGCCCAACTTTTCTTCGTATGGATAATAATGCAGCAGCTATTAAAGCCCTCGAGCTTTATAAGATTAATGCAAAACTCTGTGACCCTCATCCCTCCAAGAAAGGAGCAAGCTCAGCTTACCTTGAGAACTCGAAAGGTGCCCCAAACAACTCTGAGATAAAGATGAACAAGAAGGATGGAAAAGGAGCTAGAATTGATTTTAAAGGTAAGCTATTCATTTTTAATAGACAAATGTTGATTAAAACCATATTAAAGATTAAAGTGTGTGAAGTTTTGTTGTTTTGCTTTAATTACCTTCTGCAGATTTAGTGATTGCTAATTAGAAACAGATTATAATCCAGAAGTTCATTTGTGAATGAACTGATCACAAGTTTTACACTTTTTTTCCACTAGGAAAAAAACAGACTAAATTGTACTTAATCTCTTAAACTAGGTCACAAAGAGTATTTAAATTATTATAGATAAGTAGACTAAGTATTTGCCATAAGCTGTGAAACCCCAAGACTGTGTAGTGAAAAAAGCAGAAAGATGAAGCTATATTTTTTTTCCATATTAGAAGATAAAGCAAACTTCTGTAATACTTACCTGAGAAATCTGTTGTTTCTAATAATTTCTTCCCATATCCTTTCCATTCCTTCAGGCATTTGGTACTTGCTGCCAAGGATCGTGACCTGTCAGTGGCAGTCTTCACTAAAATTTTTAGTTTTTAAAAAATAGCAGTGTATTCTAAAATTTCTTAAAACTTTCTCCTGCCATACTAACCTTCAAGCTTGCTTTCTCGTGAAGGTAATTAATTATTATGTAGTTAAAATTTTGAGTGACTGGTAGTGCTTAGCCCCACCACAGAGGCAGTTGTGTTTAAAAGAGAAAGCTTTTCATTGAAGATGTATATAAATTAGAGAATAGCTCCAAGTATTTTAGTGAAATCATTTGAAACAAGTTTAAATGAATTAGTGGCGTGGAGTTGTGCTGTTGGCTATTTCCACAATGCAGCAGCATCCGTAACCTTACACAGCATTGTTACTCAAAATGTGTACTTAGTTCTGTTTCATGAATTAGCTCACATACTGTAGAAAATAGGTGAATGTTGTCCATGTGTGAACATGGAAGTTGCATTGACTCCATTGTACACATTTTATCAGCAAGTATGCGTCACAGAATCACAATAGACAAAGTAGAATGTGCAACCATAGTTGAATGCATCTAGCTTTGGGGAAATACTGTGCTCATCTTGTTTTGGGCCATGTGATCATTCTTAGAACTGCTGGTTGTGTGGTTCTTCTCAGTTGTTGTGCTCCTTGCCTTCTGTAGAAGTCTACAAAAGTCTTAGCAGAGTCAGCCTTTGTTTACTCCTTTCTTGAAGTAGACTACTGTCAACACCCATGTTGTTTTTCCCCAGTGTACTGTATTATGGTATTTTTCTAGTAGAACTAAACAATGCTTTCATTACACTAGTACTTTCATTCTGATTTTTGTTTATCTCCAGTTACAAAGTTGAGTAGGCATTGGATAGTCTCCCCCAACTTTGTTTTTGCATGAGATTTTTTTTTTTTTTTTTTTTTTGGTTTTTCTCCAGTACCGGGAACTGAACTCACGACCTTGCACTTGCCAGGCAGGCGCTTTGCCGCTGAGCTAAATCCCCAGCCTTGCATGAGATTTTAAGTGCAAAATTTTATGACTTGACTGTTTCAGGAACACACATATATTTCAAAATATACTGGTAACTCTCAAAAAATAATTTTTTTTTAGTAGAACTCTCCTTTTTGATAAACAGATTATTTATTATGTTTTTTATTTATATACACAAATTCAATCTAATGTTTTAAAACATGGGGTGGTATGTGGGAAGAATATCGGCATATTCTAGTTAGGAGCAGTAGAATGTCAGCATCGCTTGATGAGGATGTTCCGAGAGCCTGGCATGCCAACAGAGGTTATGTGGGTCTATAATGTTGCTCTCTCTCAGACTCTCTTCCTGTACACAAAGAAAGTTTTTATTCATGAACTTTATGATTTGGTGATTAGGAGCAAGTGTCTTATGTCCTAACCTATTTATGGTAGGTGTTTCCTCCATTTTGATTATGTTTTAGGAAATTAGATGGGAATTTTGTATTGCCTTATAAGAAAGTACTGTAACATTTTCCTATAGGGTAATGAGAAATAGACTCCTGGTGATTGCTTTTATACTTTTTAGGAAGCGATTACTGATACTTTGTAAAACATGTCAGTATATTCCTAGTAGAACACACCTAAGAATTAGTTCTTGGAAGGGTAGGGCCCATAAAAAGTAACTACAGGTGTAGATACTTATAGCCTAGCCACAGATCAGATTTATGATGTGATGAAATTCATTTTTTGGGGAGTTTAACTTTTGGGGAACATTATTTCAATACTCACTTGCATTTTATTATATTGTCTTTTACTGTGGAGGAAGTACATTAAAGCAGGGGCATGGATCATACTAAGTTGTTTTTTTGCATTATAGTATGTCTTCTGTAGTCTAGTATATGTTTAAGGGTATGTTCGGCGTGGTGAAGGTAGGATTGTCAGCGTAACTGCAAAATTGTCTCTGCCTTAAGTATTTAGCCTAATGATGAAAATCTGTCACTTTCTTAGTGAAAGTGATAGATTGACTGTTTTCAGTATTACATTTGTTTCACTAATATAGTTACAGAATTTTGATACAGAAAATGCATTATTTTTTTTTCCTGTAAAATAAAATATTTTTCATTGTGTTAGTCAGAAAAGGGAAAGCCTTGGCCTGAAAGTAACACTTCTCGTACAACTGGACAGTGTGATCCAACTCTTCCCAGAAAGAAGAGGAAGTAGATTTTGTTGATCACATAGTGTGCGTTTTAGTTCTTTCCACTCTTTGTTTTGTCACCCCACCACCTTGAGTGCTGGGGATCATTTAATACAAACAGAAGTACTGTTTCTAAAAGATGGTGCTGAAGGAATTTTTGTTCAAATCTTATCATCTTAAGTCTTTTGAGAACAGAAAAAAATCTTCCAGAGGAGTAGTGTTTCTTTACAGCAAGGTTGTAATAGGGTATTGTAATGAAACTGCACATGATACAGTGGTTCACATTTAAAATTAAACCTACTGATAGATACCTTGATCACAGAGGGAGCTGGAACTATTAATGACCTCTACTAGCTATCTATTGTTGAAAGAACATAAAAGAAGGGGTGAGGATGTTGGTATTAGTACTTCATTGGTAAAGGAATAGGTTAAGAATAATACTTTGATTGCTGAATTATTAAAAAGTATTATTATATACTTTTATAAAGGAATTTTAATTTGCAATGGTATTGAGTCTAAATTTTTGGCTGTTTCACTTTTCACTAGTATTTAATTATAATAAAATAAGCATGTACAAACTATGAAAATAATTATTCTGTTTTTCCGTCTAATTTTCTAGATGTGACTTATCTTACTGAAGAGCTGGTGTATGAAATTCTTGAAATATGTAGAGAGAGAGAGGATTATTCCCCTTTAATCCGTGTTATTGGAAGAGTTTTTTCTAGTGCTGAGGCATTGGTACAGAGTTTTCGGAAGGTCAAACAACACACCAAGGAAGAACTGAAATCTCTTCAAGGAAAGGATGAAGACAAGGATGAAGATGAAAAGGAAAAGGCTGCATGTTCTACTGCTGCTATGGAAGAAGATTCAGAAGCATCTTCCTCCAGGATAGGGGATAGCTCACAGGGAGACAACAATTTACAAAAATTAGGTCCTGATGATGTGTCTGTAGATATTGATGCTGTTAGAAGGGTCTATACCAGATTGCTCTCTAATGAAAAAATAGAAACTGCCTTTCTTAATGCACTTGTATATTTGTCACCTAATGTAGAATGTGACTTAACATATCATAACGTGTACTCCCGCGATCCTAATTATCTGAATTTGTTCATTATTGTAATGGAGAATAGGAATCTGCACAGTCCTGAATATCTGGAAATGGCATTGCCATTGTTTTGCAAAGCAATGAGCAAGCTACCCCTTGCAGCCCAAGGAAAACTAATTAGACTGTGGTCTAAATATAGTGCAGACCAGATTCGGAGAATGATGGAGACATTTCAGCAACTTATTACTTACAAAGTCATAAGCAATGAATTTAACAGTCGAAATCTAGTGAATGATGATGATGCCATTGTTGCTGCTTCAAAGTGCTTAAAAATGGTTTACTATGCAAATGTAGTGGGAGGGGAAGTGGATACAGATCATAATGAAGAAGATGATGAAGAGCCCATCCCGGAGTCCAGTGAATTGACACTTCAGGAGCTTTTGGGAGAGGAAAGAAGAAACAAGAAAGGTCCTCGAGTGGACCCACTGGAAACTGAACTTGGTGTTAAGACTCTGGACTGTCGAAAACCACTTATCTCTTTTGAGGAGTTCATTAATGAACCACTGAATGATGTTCTAGAAATGGATAAAGATTATACTTTTTTCAAAGTAGAAACAGAGAACAAATTTTCTTTTATGACATGTCCCTTCATATTGAATGCTGTCACAAAAAATTTGGGATTATATTATGACAATAGAATTCGCATGTACAGTGAACGAAGAATCACTGTTCTCTACAGTCTAGTTCAAGGACAGCAGTTGAATCCGTATTTGAGGCTCAAAGTCAGACGTGACCATATCATAGATGATGCACTTGTCCGGGTAAGTTTGGCTACTACTTAAAATCAGTACTAAATTAAAAACCTGCTGATGGGGATATTGAGATAGAGTTTAGTGAATTCCTTTCCAAGGTGGTGGTTAGCAAAAAGTAAGTGTCATATAGCCTGGGAACACGTGGACATTTTTTATCTTAAACACAAGTATTTGACTTTTGTTGTTCCTGACCGGGTTTCTAAATATGTTCTACAAAGTATTGGTTATCTTATCTTTACTCTGTCTTTGAAAAAAATGGGTTTCCTAAATTTTGAAAAGTTGCCGTACAAGTTTCACCCATTCAACAGAGAAGTGGAACTCAGGAGTAAGGGAAATGTGGAAATACCTGATAGTGAGTGCTGGATGTGAGGTCTAAGGAGAAGTGACACAGTAAACCTACTTCATAAAGGTTCAGTTAAGTAGTGTCCAAAAAAACTGCATCATGCAGAATTTAAATTGCACTGTTACGAATTTGAAAAGGTTAAGTAGGACAGATGGGGTGGGTACATGTTTGTCAGTAAGATTTTGGAATCCTACTAAACTTCACAGAATGTTCTTATATGATACCATGTAGTTTTGGAAGTTTTTGTCACTTAAATATTTGTGGGGCAATTCTAGAAGTAGAAATGAGAAACTTTTTGGTGAGCTCACTATTCACCTTTTTTTAAGTCCAGCATAGATAGCGGAAGGGATCTCAACACAAGAAGTCAAACATATAAGTAGTTTTGGCATTTGGATCCCTGCTGTAACTGTCAGTATGCATGGATAGACCTGAAGTGCTTCAATTTCACGTATATTCTTATACCTTACCATTCTGTTAAATTGTGAAAAAGTTGATGGCTGCCAGATGATCAGTCACTAAATGTATTAATTATTCACATGGCTCAAAGTTACATAAGTAAAATTTAAAAGGGTGCCAGAAAGCCAACAGTGATAATTAGTTCAGGCAGTTAAAATGCCTGTTTCTATTGAAAACTGCTTGAATTTCTTAAATAATGCAGAACCTTTCTTCAACATACTTGACATTTTTTAAAAACTAGGAACAAGGAAAGGCATAAAATCTTTAATTTTAACTTGGAGATGGCAAACAACTTTACCCATTGGTTTATAGTTGTATAAATTCTCTTTTTTCTTTTTGAAACTGGGAGTCGAACTGAGGACCTCACACTTGCCAGGCAGGCACCATGCCGCTGAGCTATATCCCCAGCCTGTCTATTAATTCTCAATGTCTTATCCATTCCAGAACCATAATATATTTTCTAAATAAATATCACTGTTTCCTAGTTGTCTGTGTTGTGCATTCTTATTCATTGTTAGTATAAGGTTGACTAATTTTAGTTGGCATTAAATTTTATTTGAAAAACAATGGGCAGTGACAGAGATACCTGTTATTATTAATATAATAAAACCTTACAATAAAGCACCCTTTGACAGATATAATTTTGGTAAAATGTGACCAGCAACCTTGGTAAACCTGATGATAGTTTTATATTGAGGTGACATCCTACCTTAGGGGTTTTGAGAGTGCTTTTATATCAGGTTGTTAAAAAAAAAAACTCCATTGTGTTTTGTCTGATAGCTAATCAGAAGTTCAGAAATTAAAAATCATTCAGTCCACTAGTTGTGGAATTGAGTGTTAGTAACAAGTCATATAAGAAGCAGATGTCATTATATCCAGTGTATCTTTCTTTCTCCAGTAATCTCTATTAGAGGAAATATACTCTACTTAAATATCTGTATCTAAAAATCCATGTCTGTATATTATATACTATTTTTTTCAAAAAGATCGATGACATTTGTATTCTTAAGTGATACAATATTTTAAAGAATCACGTTCATCTGAGAATGGTACTCTTAAAATAGATACGTGGAAATTTTTATTGGAATTTTTACAATTCCAGGCAGCACTAGAAAGATGCAAACAATGGAAATACATTGCTGGAGGAATCAGGGAGAGCACAGTGCCCAGTGGCCATTGAGATTCTTGCATGGAAAAACAAGTGTTTGCCCCTACCCGCAATTGGGATCCCCTGAGGAAGCATGACACCTGAGGGTATTTAAGGGCATGCGCGCACTTGACGTGTGACCTGAGCAATTCAACCTCCCAGAATTCAGGTGCCAACTATTTTTTTAAATCATTCTTTTTAAATAGTATTTATATTTGAATGGATCCTGAATCTATAGAAGTTAATACATACAGTCATTGGGGAAAATTGAAAGGTTAAAGAGCATGAAGAAGAAAATAGAAATCACTCACTTCCAAAAACTACATTATGACGAGTTACTGTGCAGCAGTGAAACACAGTCATTGAGAGCTTGCCCCCATTGTTAGTCCCCTCTCTGACTTACCATAGCATCAACGAGTTGTGTAACCTTCATTACTTCACGGCTCCCATTTGTAAAATGGTTACTAATATTACCTGCCTGGTAAGATTGTTGTGGAAATGAATGAGGTGCCATTTGCCAAGTGCTTCATAAGTTCCTTTATTTCACAAGAATTGTTGTTGCTGTTATTCCTAGAACATTTTTGTTTGATGCCATAGTGGTCAGATTTTCAGACAGCCCTGGAACAAGCTTTAGATCCAATAAAAAAATAATAACAGCAAGAAACTTAAAAGCACGGACTTTTTGTAGGGAATTCATCTAAGCATTTTATATATACTTATTTAATACTACATTATGCTTGTTTTATAGATGAAACTAAGGCAAAAAGGGGGAAGTTATTTATTTACAGTGAAAATAATGATATACTAAGTTTTGGCACCCAAGGTAGGGAACACAGAAGAATGATTGGTGAAAGTTACAAACATGATATTTTACGAATAAAGACAAGTCTGTCTCAGTTATATGATATGTCTTAGGTGGAGCTAAGACTAGAATACAGGGCCTCTGCTTCCTATGGAAACTTTCCATCAAATCTCTTGAAAGGTTCACATTGTTAAGGAGCCAGCTCTCATCTATTAGCCTTACTGGGAAAAGCTATAGAAGGCATAGTCTTATCAGGCATTCTGTTTGTTCTATTATTAGAATTTATTATACTTAATATAAGCACATTTGGCTTTGTATTGGGAAGCCAAATGAAAATTTTGACTCACATCTTTTAACACCTAGCCAGTTGAGAACTGGGAGAAGAAAAGTAGGAATGGGTTACATAGTTAAGTGGAGCATTGGCTTAGTACCAAATTTTAGCTGAGAAGGTACTTGTAATCTTAGGCCTTAGCTTGAAACGCATTAACAGCTAGAACTTTTGGGGAATAGGGACAGTGCTAGGTATCGAACCCAGGCCTCACATGCTGAGCGGGTGCTCTACTGCTGAGCTACAGCCTGGGCCCAGGAAGTTTTTTTGAAGCAAGGTAGTTTTCAAATCTACATTTGTTTGACTCCACAGTCTTGGAACTAGTCTCAGGTTCCACTTGAGTTGTAAAATTATGAATCTTGTGTCCCGGGAACAAAGTTGTTTTAAAAGATAATAGTGTGATTTGTTAGTCTTAATATTACCTGCTCTATTGAACTCTTTCTCATTTCTTACTAAGTCTTCAAAACCTTGTAGTTTTTTTCTTTGCAGCTGAGGAAACTGAGGCTTAATTGAATTACTTGCTAAAGTGGAAAGATTAAAAGTTTTGTACTGGGGAGGTAGCTCAGTGGTATGGTAATTGCTTAGCATCTGAGAACCCCTTGGTTCAATTTCCAGTACAGCCCTGGGGAAAAAAAGAGAGAGAATGAAGGCCAAAAGTTACATTAATTGACAGTTGGAAGTAGTAAGGCATATTCTAAAACTTAATCTTTCTTTCCGCAATAAAACGCTGTTTCAAAAATAGATTCTTTTAACAAATTAGCCCAAAAATGATTTTGTAAGTGTGGGAGACACTTATAAAAGTAAAGACACTTGAATTCTTTAGACTGAATTTGCAGACTCATGAAGCCCAGATCTGAAAATATCCAGGTTTCAATTTTAGTCACTTTTTTCTAACTTTTCTCAAGTGCATCCCCTAGTAATAAGTACAATACATAATGCATATTCATCTGTACATCTAGTTGAAACCAAAGTTTTGCAAAACATCAGGTTCCATTGTTACTGGAATGCAGTCTCTTTTTCCCTCTTGGTTACCGTCCACTAAGTGAAATAGATTACCCACTAAATAAGTTGCAATTAACAGTTTGAAATACATGGAGCTAGGTAATTAGACCTGATTCATTTATTTATAAGGTTTTATTTTCTTTTTATGGACACTAGAACGTTACCTAAACTAATTACTTTTGAACTACAATATATTTATTCCAGTGATCTTGCATTGTTCAAAATCATTTTTAAATCAATGATTTAAAATCATTGTTCGAAATAGAATAACCTGAAGATCATTAAATAACCATTTTGTGAGATTTTTACCTTGAATAGTGAATTTTTCTTTTAAGTAACCAAGAGACATTTGGACTTAATTTAGAAAATAAGACAGATAAGTAATCACAATACTGTTAGGAAATTTTAGACCGATAAGACCACTCAACATATAAGTATTTCACATTAGAACCATGTTGAATAATCTCAGTGTCTGCTTAGTCACTGAGTATGAGTTATTCTAGAGATATAAAAAAGTACTTGGTAAAATATTTATAGTTGAAGAAATGCCAGATAGTAGAGTTGGTTAACAGATGTTAAAAGTAAAGACATAGGACATTTTCACCTGCATTCATGAAATGGGTATGGGATACATTCAAATCCATTTAAAAAATGGCAATTTATAGTAAGTGCTACTGTGAGAGGGCATAAATAGTTTTAGTCTTTATCCAGTATGTTTTTCTTAGTTTAAATTATCTTAATGACAGTGGGTAGTAAATTGCACCAAACACAAAGGACTAGTAGTAAGCAATTTTAAAGTCAACCTTCTGTACGCCGTTACTTTTGCTGAAATAATGTAGTGTCAGTAGTCACACAGGCACCTTGCTTGTCTTAATTTCTTCTACTTCTTTAACTGTAAAGCCCAAATCTGTTATAAACAAGAAACAATCTATACTAATTCCTACAGTATAGTAATGTACTAGATAGTATTTCCTACTATATGTAATTTCTCTTTATTATTCCACTTTTCTATCATGTTTTTCCATTGCTGTGAGACTGCATCTGTATTTACAGGTCTTTCAAAATGAAATCAGTGTGTGTCCTGTTTCCATTTTAAAAGAAAAAGTTAAAATCTTTCATTTCTTCCCTAGCCCTGCTCATTTTTACTTGTTTCTTCTTTTATTTTTTATCCTGATACCAGCAGTAATCTGTTTATATTTATCTTTTCAATCATAGCTAGAAATGATTGCTATGGAAAATCCCGCAGACTTGAAGAAACAGTTGTATGTGGAATTTGAAGGAGAACAAGGAGTTGATGAGGGTGGTGTTTCCAAAGAATTTTTTCAGTTGGTTGTGGAGGAAATCTTCAATCCAGATATTGGTAAATATTTTAATAATATGATTATGGCATCATTCTCGAGTTAAGAATTTGTTTACCTTGGTTTATAAGTATTCTCAGGAATGAAAAGCAACAAAAGAAGATTTTGGTATGGACTACCTTTAATTGCAGATTAATTTGTGCTTTAGGAACTGATCTGTATCACTCATTTATTGAAATTTTTATTTAAATTACTTAGCCAAGGGCTGGGGATGTAGCTCAGTGGCGCAGCACCTGCCTGGCAAGTGCGAGGCCAGGCCCTGAGTTCAATTTCCGGTACCAAAAAAGAAAGTAGTAAAGAAAAAAGACCAAAAGAAAAAAAATTACTTAGCCAAATATTCTAAGATTTAATGGAAAACACCTTAGAATGTTGTATTTAGAAAAATTTCATGGATTTTTTTTTTTCCTTTTTGTAGTCTAAAACAGTCATCAGCAGTAGTGTTCCTGGACTTAAGAGTGGTGTGAAGAGTTTGCTAAGAGAATGTGTCTTAAGTGTATCATCCTCATAGTTGACAAACACTAACTCCTAACAGGTCAACTAGTTCTGTTTGGTAGATTTCTTAGGAAGTTGCATGCAGCTTGGTGGTAGGTAGAGCCCCAGCATAGTCTAAAATAAATACATTCCTGTGACTTAGTGTTACTATAATATTTCCTCCAAACCACTCCTGAACTCTTTTTTTCCATCCCACACCTAACAGTATTTGCCCCCAAAGTAGTTCGCATTTGAACACAATTTGGGAAAGGTAGATTATACATGGTAATCTGAAGGTTCAGGGTCTCAGTCTGATTTTATGCCTTTTTTTTTTTTTTTGGTGCTGGGACCTGAACTTAGGACCTTGCGCTTGCCAGGCAGGCACTTGTGCCGCTGAGCTATATCCCCGGCCTGATTTCATATCTTGTGTTCAGCAATAGCAGCAAAGCAGAATGGGAAGGACATAGCTTCTACTTAAGTGGCTAATTCTAAGCTTGTTTAACTTCTACAATGTAACGGCTTCTTGGACTTGCATTTAAATGAAGAAAAATACAGGAAAAGATTTTCACTATAAGAACGATCAGAATCGTGAGAAATGTGACATAAAATACTGGAGATTATTTTCCCTGAGCTTTGAGAATTGAGCTCTTAAAGCCCGTGAACTTACAGTTCTGTGTGCACACTGAATGGATTTTGTTATTGTTGTTAATCGTACATGGTGCGAGCGTGTGCGTGTGTGTATGTGTTTTAGTCACAACTTTAGGTCTGTGATACAAATACCTAAAGAAGGTAAGACTAACTTATTTATATTCTGTATACTGTTCATTATTAATAGAAGTCTGTGCCATTTGTATGTAATTTGTTCACAGGAATCCAGGGCTACACAAAACCAGGGCCTTTTTGAGATAGAAAATCAGTTTACTGGCTACATGAGGAATGTATAAGCTTTGTAAGTTTGGTAAACCTTGGCTGATATAATAGAAATGTTGAACATTAGGTATAGACTATACTTACATTATGTACTGAGACACTTAAAAGAAAAAGACTTCTATTAAGCAGTTTCAGTCAGTAGTGAGGTAGTTGAAATGAAGGCAATCAGTATATCAAGATGGAATATTTCCCAGTCAGCATCCTATACGGTGCTTTTCTTTCAGGGACTGGAAAAATATGCCCCAAATGGGATCTTCTTGGACTTCAAATTTGCCATCTCTCCTAGATGGGAGGGAGAGTAATGGTTTATGTAATTTATATTTTGATTAATTTACAGTTTATTGTTCTTGAGACCAAGGACATGCATTTGTGACAGTTCATCAAATTCATTGCTTTTAAACTGAAGTTTTTAGCACTTCTGTGAATGTTGTAACATGATTTATTAAGAAAATAGATCTAATCTCTGAAGCTCAAGTTTAAATTGGATAACTTTGTTTTGTTTTGTTTTTGGTACCAGGAATTGAACTCACGACCTTGTGCTTGCCAGGCAGGCACTGTAAATTGGATAACTTTGAAACTATTACTTTATTACAATGCATTAGGAAAATAGTCCTAAGCATATTTTATGCCCTTGGTGATCAAGAGGACTTTTTAAAATTCCTTTAAACCTAAACTGAAAGTGAAAATGAACGAACATTTTTCAAGTTTTTAAAGCTTTTTATAGACTGCTTTAAAAAAGTATGTAGTACATTGTTTGATTTCTAAGTCCTATTGAAAATTACAATATTTTACAGACCTAATTTTTAAAATATTTTCCTTCACTTGACAGTAGTAATTAAAGAACTAGGAAAATGAAAAAAATTATAAATTCGGTTAAAATATGTAACGTTCTTAGACATATATTTAAAAAGAAAGAAGATAATTCACCAATAATGTTTATTCAGATAGATAAAACTGAAGATACCTGTTTTGTAAGGAATAATACTAAAAATGTCTCTGATGTTTGGTTTTTGAATCGAGTTTGGTTTTACATAGAGAAGGCCATGTGAAACTGAAAGACTACAAAAATACTTTTTATCAAATGTATATAAAATTTTGGTTTTTGCATTTTTCAGCCATTTTTGGGTAAAATCTTAGTAGAAGGTAACCTTCCTTTGTTAGTAGATTAGAAAACTTGAATTTAATGAAATACTTTTCCACTGTCCTAGAAATGTTGCTAAGGTTGCTTGTTTTGTTTCCTTGGCTTCATAAAATTACATATAGCCATTTGCCCATTTATAATGACCCAATACTATATTTGGATATTGTCTTCCCAAGTACAAATGTAATAGAACTTTTTGTATACCTACTTTTTAAGTAGGTTTGTTTTACATGCATAATTATTTCATAATTACGTCTGTATTATTCACCATCAGTTTTTCATAAAATACAAAAGTAATGCATTTTTAAAAATTATTTCTTATAGGTATGTTCACATATGATGAATCTACAAAGTTATTTTGGTTTAATCCATCTTCCTTTGAAACTGAGGGTCAGTTTACTCTGATTGGCATAGTATTGGGTCTGGCTATTTACAATAATTGTATCCTGGATGTTCATTTCCCCATGGTTGTGTACAGGAAGCTAATGGGAAAAAAAGGAACTTTTCGTGACTTGGGAGACTCCCACCCAGTAAGTTTTTTTTTTTATTGTTTCATATTTTATTTATATGCAAAATACATATAAATTTTGATGTATGTAAAGTTTTTGTTTGGAATCTGTTGATAGGTATAGATATCCAGTAAAAGCAAAGTTTTTAAATTCAGTTTAAGCACTACAAGCACTTAACTCAAGGGGGAAAGTTTTATATTCTGCAGTCAGCAAGTAGTTTTTTAAGACTGATACAGCTGGGCATGGTGGGGCATGCCTATAATCCCAGCACTTGGGAAGCAGAGGCAGGAGGATCACTGTGAGTTTAAGGCCAGCCTGGGCTACGTAGTAAGTTCAACTGGTCTGAATTACATTGTGAGACCCTGTCTCAAAAAAAGAAAAAAAGAAAGAGAAGATTGATACAGTAATGTTTTTAAACATTTTGTTTTTCAACATGTTCACATCAGGGCCATAATTCATATGTCTTGCAGCACAGTGGCTCTGATTTGAATGTGTCACGTTCCTGTTGGCTTGAACCACCAGAGGTACATGCATGACTGTCCCTTCAGGACAGTCCCCTCGCTGGTACAAGCTGCCAGAAGGGGCAGTCATACACGTAGCAGCGGTCATTCAGGTCGGCAGGAGCATGTCAGTGCGTGCTCTGTGACTCGTGTCTGTTGTGCTCAGAGCTGCCCTGCCCAGTGGGATTGGTGGGTGCAGGCAGTGCGTATCTTCCCTCTGTGCTTTCCCTACCTCGGGGTCAGGCATTCTCATGGAGCACAGAGTCAAGTCTGCTGCACTGATAGTATAAGGTTCTCAGCCAGGAATAAGCCATCTTCTGTGACTGAGAGTCTTTTCTAGGTTATGCGGTTTTTAGGGGACCAGTGGGATACTGTCTATGCTTTAATTTTGCTGACATATTTAAGTTTTTATGTTTTTCTCAGAAGAGTGTTACAGACTATTTGCTGTAGAGTTCTACGTAGCCTCACATTGTCATTTCTGATTGTTAGGTTTTACATCAGAGTTTAAAAGACTTACTGGAATACGAAGGGAATGTGGAAGACGACATGATGATCACTTTTCAGATATCACAGACCGATCTTTTTGGTAACCCGATGATGTATGATCTAAAGGAAAATGGTGATAAAATTCCAATTACAAATGAAAACAGGAAGGTAGTGCTTTTATATTGTCATTTTTATTTCTTATTGTTTTCAAAGAAATATCTAATGTAACTTGAACCAAGAATAAAGAAACCAAGTATGGAATTCCTCATTTAATAACTGAGTCAGGATCATGCAACTAGATCAGTAAAATGAATTGGTTGCTAAATGAGGAATTGTGTATAGTACGTACATTATATTTAAAACAGAGGAAGCTTTAACTTTGCTTTTATTAGCATAACTTCCTTTTTTTTCCTTTTTTTTTTTTTAGAGACATGGTCTTTGCTCTGTAATTCAGCCCAGCCTTGAACTTGTGGCAGTCCTCCTGCCTCAGCCTCCTTAGTGCTGAAAATACAGGCATGCATCACTACGTCCAACTTTATTTGCATAATTTATACACAGTAGTGTAATGTATAACAGAACATAAAGCTGCAGTTCTCTACTGTACAGTCAGCAGAAATTGCAGTACTATATAAACAAGATGTTTATTGAGGCTCTATAAACAAGAGGTAAAATACTGTACAGAAACAAAACAGACAGGTCATAAGTCCTAATAGTCATTAAACAGATGGTTCACTAAATGAGGACTATCTGTAATCCAGTTCACGTAAACGCTGCATTTTAAAAAAATCTTAAACTGGTACGATAGCACAGAATTGGGTACTGATGAACTGCTTTTGAAGAGAGAGAACATGGAGTAGGAGAGAATGAGTAGCCAAGTCATCTAGTATAAAGCCAGAAACAGGGTCCTCCCGTGTTAGCCCTTATAAGGAATCAAGATCATGTGATTAAGGTCTTCATCATAGAATAAGTGATAATTATATTGAGTTCACACTTGCATTTCCTGTATATTTCTGGAAAGCAGTCATTACATCAGATTTATGTTTGTGTTGATTTAATAAGTATGTATTATACCTTTAAGAGGTGTTACACCAATATAATTTTTGGTAAAACTTAACATACACTAAGTTAGGATGCAAAGTACATGACCCTTTTTTTTTTTTTTTTTTTTTTTTGCCTTTTTGAGACAGGGTCGTGCTATGCAGTTCAGGCTGGCCTTGAGCTTACTTTGTAACTCAGGCTGGTCTCAAACTTGCAATGATCCTCCCGCCTCAGCCTTCCGAGTGCTGGGATTATAGGTGTGCATCACCACGCCTGGCCCTCCACTGTAAAATTTGGTGTAATAACTTCACAAAACCCTAGCATTTTTGCTGAGTTGGATACAGTGGTCAACTTGCCACACATTTTGTACTAGCAAACATGAGACTTTGTGGTTTGCTCCAGTCCACTGCATTGTGTTCTATTAAAACTGACTTTTTAAAAAAGAATTTTTTTGGCAGTACTGTGGATTGAATCTGGGGCCTCACACTTGTTGAGGAAGCACTGTATCCCCAGGCCTAAATCTGCTGACTCTATAAGCATATTTTTATGTGTATATGTGGTTTAAGTATGTCTGTTTTTGTATATTTAGTTGAAGACTAAAACATTGTATCAAAGTCCCACCTTTTATATTCAGACCTGCTTAATACACTATGAAAGTTGAAACATATATATGTTAATTTATATACATGATCTTTCTGTAACAATATTAAGCATCATAAAGAATTATGAAATTTTAAGTGTTTTCCTTTGTATGTGTAAAATTTTAATTTTTACAAATATTCTTGAATGCTTTTTTCTTAAGAAAAATCTAAGCCCAATAGCTTGTTGTGTTTTATTTGTGTATTATAACTTCTTTTTATTTAATGTTTTCTACAGGAATTTGTCAATCTGTATTCTGACTACATTCTCAATAAATCAGTAGAAAAACAGTTCAAAGCTTTTCGCAGAGGTTTTCATATGGTGACCAATGAATCTCCCTTAAAGTATTTATTCAGACCAGAAGAAATTGAATTGCTTATATGTGGAAGCCGGGTAAGAAAGCAGATGTCTGCAAAGAAAAAAAAAAGCATTGAATTTATTATTTGTAATGATGTAGTGTAGAAGATGTTAAGACATATTTTCTTGAATTTGCAGAATCTAGATTTCCAGGCACTAGAAGAAACTACAGAATATGACGGTGGCTATACCAGGGACTCTGTTGTGATTAGGTGAGGTGCTTAATTCTTAAAAGGAAGATTTGACTCTCCAGAGGAGTGTATATGCTTTGTGCTTCCAGCCTGCGTCTCTGTGTACTGCTGCCCAAATGAGCAGACTTAAAACCTCTCACCTATAAAACTGTCTGTGATATGTTGTGTATTTATAATGTGATCTTCAATTTTTAGAGTTAGTGTCATGAGTCACTTCATGCATGAAGTGTTCTTGTCAGTCTCGTGTTTTCTCCTGCATTTGGGTTATAAATTATCTAATATTCTTGGTGACGTGAAATATTTAAGCCATATGATATGAGCAGATGCATTTTAATTAGTATTTCCGTACTAGTATGTATGTATGTGTGTATGTACATACTAGCACATATATAATATTATTTCCAAATAATTCTGAGACAGGCATTTCCAGTTCTACTGCCCCCACTCCCAGTCACATGCCCCTCTTATTGTAGAATCTGCTTCGGTGTCCTACTCTAGCCAATCCTGAAGAACAGGCTTTCTACCCCTTGCTGGGATGGGTAAGAGGGACTGAGATGCCCTTTTTACATCCACTGGTGAGGCAAGGTGCAAACAAGTACCTTCCTGGAAGATCATTGCTCCAGAATTCAAGTATATAAACATCAGAATGAATGATAACTTTATCTAGCAGTAAATAATGTCTTGAGTTATATTGTTATTATTTTTGTCCTTTTACTTTGTTCTTTATCTTGTACAGATGTAGGAAGTATTTAATCTCCTCTTTCTAATACACTGTCTTTCTAGAAGCAGTCATGAATGTATTCACTCTTAGCAACCATTGTCCTGCTAGGGGTTCAAGGGTGATAGGAAAGCCCATTTATTAGTCATAAGGGGTATCCATAGCAATGAGTAAAACTGGCGGTAGGTGTGACTTAAAACAGTTACTGTGAATGAAAGTAGCATCTTAATGCTTTTTTGAGAATAGTAGAAAATACAATGTACTATAATTTATGGAAAAATTATCCTTAAGGTTAAAGTCTTAATTTTATTTCTAGCTTTTATAACATAATTCCTGCTTGATATATTCCTCAAGATCATTTGTGAATGTAGTTAGAAGGACCAGCTAGTATTAGACAAAATTACAGTAGTATAGTATTTCTGACTTACCCTCACAGTTAATGATTTTTTTAAGCCTTTTAAAATTTTTTCAGTTCTTGCCGGGCGCGGTGGCTCACGCTTGTAATCACGCAGGAGGACTGTTGTGAGTTCAAGACCAGCCTGGACTATACAAGGCCAGCCTGAACTGCAGAGGGAGATCCTGTCTCAAAAAAAAAAAAAATTATTTCAATTCTTAATTTTGTCAGTATAAATAAGAGGAAAGTATTAACTAGAGTCTATAACTACTATGAAGTCAGAGACTTAAAATAGTACTTATAATACCAGAAAAAAAAAGATAACACAGGTGTCTTGGTTGGTATTTATTTCATACAGTCTGAATTCATAAAAGTAAAATACACAAGAAAATTTTGGGGCATGTGTTTTCCAGGTGCTGCAAAAGTTCTACCTGATTTCATTTCTTATTTAACTGCTTCAAGGCCTCTTTTCAGATGTCCCATTCCTTACCTTTTTTTGTGGTTGAGGGCAGAAATGTTTTGGGATTATTTGTTTGTTTGTTTTTAACTGATATTTCTATTTTAAAGGCTTGATTCAGAGTCTGATTTTATTTCCTTCCTGTCTTAGGAAGACGCTGCCAGTCAAATATTATTCCCTTACTTTCTTCTTATTCCCTTACTTTTTTCATTTCTTGAACAAAATAGGTGACACTCAAAGTTAAGGGAAGGTTTTTTAGCTCACAGTTTGTGGGGGTTTCAGTCCATAATCAGCTGGCTCCAAGGCAGGGTGGCATGGCAGGGCATCACAGAGGATAAACAGTCTGTGGTAGACATAAGGTAGCAAAGCAAGCATGATGCATAACTTACCCGGACTGTTTGGGGTTGTAGAAATGTACATCACTCAGTTGAGACATTATATCCATTACCCCAGAATCCCCACATGTCTTTAGCAACTCCTTTCTATCCTTTATGTCTTATCCAGGTTACTTAGGGTAGGTAGCACCCACACCCGTAATCCTAGTGCCCTTGATCCTAGCATTGCACCATGAATCAATCCCAGTGTCACACACCCTAGATCCAGGCACCTCTGAAAAATCTCCACCTATGTCTGCACAAGGCTTTGGGGAGACATGTAGAGACAAGCTGTAACACTTCCCAACTATTTCATATTTTGATTTGTACTTTTATCTGAAGTTGCTTAAAGTTTGGCTAGCTCTCTCCAGTAATGTTTATTATGGGTTATGATTGTCTGGATCAAGTAATTCATTAAAGCTTGTAAGATTGAAGTATTCTAATTCTTTATTTCTCCTTTTATTATTGTAACATTTTAAAAGTATTACCTGTAACATTCATCAACTCTTTGATTACCTCAAACTACAGGTTGACGAATATGATCTACATACATGCATATGTACATACCAGACAAAATACATGCAAATAGTCCTCTGTTCTCTGTATGTTACCAGTATGGTACTGGTGATAATGGTGATTCTGGATTTTATGTGATGTAAGATTTGAATATAGTGAAATACACATAACTTACCTGGACAATTTGGAGTTGTGGAAATGTACGACATACCTCAGCTGAGACGCAGACTATGTGCATTACCCCAGAATTCCCGTGTGTCCCCTTCCAGTCAGTCTCTGTCTCCCATAGGCAACCACTGTTTTATCTCTGCCACAGATTAGTTTTGTCTGTTTTTGGTTTTCATACAAATGGAATCATATCATATACATATATATTTACTGTTTCTGTGTTCATATTCTTTAGATCAAGAGAATGTTTTCTAAATTCATCCATGTTATTACATTAATATATATAGCTCATTGTTTTTATGACACATTAATATTGCAGTAGATGATGGGCATGGTAGCCCATGCCTGTAGTCCCAGCACTTGGTTGGTAGGTTGAGACAGGAGGATCGTCATAAGTTTGAGGCCAGCCTGGGCTACATAGTGAGATCTTGTCTCAAAAATTTAAAAAAAAAAAATTACATTAGATGAATACACCAACTTTGTCCATTCTCCTGTTTGGTGGCCAATTGGATTATCTCTAGATAGGGGCCACTATGAATAAAGCTATATATAGACTTACTGTGAAAGTGTTACCTGATTTAGGTGAACACGTAGGAGGTGCAGCTTTTGAGTCATGTGGTAGACAGATACTCATAATGGACTGTAAGAACGATTTTCCAAAATGGCCATACTATTTTACATTCTACCCAGCAATATCAGAATTCCAGTGTTTCCACATTTTCTCAAGAGTTTGGTAGTAGTAGTCTGCAGTCATTCTGGTGAGTATGAAATGATTTCTCACTGTGATTTTAATTTGCATTTTGTTTGTAAAGTGTCTTCACCATTTTTAAGTAGGTTTTTGTCATTCCATTGATTGTAAGCATTTTTGTTTAAAATACATGCTAGATAAAAGTCCCATTTCTGATATGTATTTTATGAATATGTTTTCCCAATCTGTAGCTTTTCTTTCTTTATTGAATTTCCTTTGGACTTTCTTTGAAAAATCAGTTTGTGTATGAGTCTTACGTCCAGCCTTTCCATTCTGATTTGCTGATTTGTCCTTTCCCCAAAATCACACTGATGACTCCTACAGCTTTACAGAGGCAGGCTTTCAGATCAGATGCTGGGAGTCCTCCTACTTTCTCATTATGCTAGATTGCCTTGGTTGTTTAATTTTCATGTGCCTATTAGAATCACTTTGTTATGTCTTTCAATTATTTAGATCTTCATTTGCTTGTCAGCATTGTTTTGCAGCTTTTAATTGTTGAAATCATTCTCATTTTGGTTAGGAATAAATTTGAGTACTTCATATTTGTGAAGCGAGTATGTAGTCTTTATTAATTTCATTTTTTGTTTGCTTTTTGCTAATATTTGGAAAAAAATGGATTTTTGTGTATTGATCCCTATGTCCTCTAATCCGCCTAAATTCACTTTTAGTAAGTATTTTAAAAATACATTCTTTAGAGTTTTCTATTTAAACAGCCATCTGGTCTCTAGATCAGAACACATTTCTTTCCTTCCAGTCTTCATGTCTTTTATTGTCCTTTTCTCTATTGCATTGTCCAGTTAGAACTTTTAGGAACCTTACTGAAAAAGAGTGCAAACGTACTTCAGAGGTATTGTGTGCTTGCTTCTAGGCCACTGCAGTAAAGCAAATATCATAATATTATGAGAATAACATGAGTTTTTTGGTTTTCCAGTTCATATTTAAAAGGTATGTTTACATTGTATTGTAGTTGATTAAGTGTGTAGTAGCATTGTGCTTAAAAATATCTTATTGTTGTAGTTAAAAATACATCATTGCCAAAAAAAAAATATTACTAATTATCTGAGCCTTCACAAAGTCCTAACTTTTTTGTCAGTAGAGGATTTTGTCTCTGTCAGGATTGCTGAATGATCAGAGTGGTTGTTGGCTAAAGGCTAGCGTGGCTCTGATAATTTCTTAAAATAAGACACTGGTGAAGTTGGCCTCATTGACTGACTGTTTCACAAAGGATTTCTTTAAAGTATGTGATAATGTTTGATACTATTTTGCCCACTGTGGAGTCAGTCCTCGGAAACTAAATTTAAGTAATATTCGAAATGTGTTGTCACATCACCAGTGTGTGTTGCATCTTCACCAGGACCAGAGTCTGTCTCAAGAAAGCACTTTCTTTGCTCATCCATAAGAAGCAGTATCTTAAAGAGCTGTAAAAATTTTATCAAGAGTTTGCAACAGTTAAATTCCCATCTTTAGGTTTCAGTCACAATCCTAGTTCTCTTTTTTTTTCAGTACATTTATAGAGTTTTTCCTCTATTAAATTCTTGAACTCCACAAAGATTGATATTTTGATCTCTTCCTATGAATTGCAGATATTTAATAACACTTGAAAGTACTTCATCTGTAGGCTGCACAATGGGTGTTATATTAGCAGG